TTTTTTTTTTTTTTTTTCCCCACATCACTGCCGCCCTACTTTTCTCCTTCCCCGATTCGCCTGGCGGGTGCACAGCTCCGGGCGTCAGCAAAGTCGTTTCTGGGGACGCTGGGGGGGCTCCTGGCTGCGCTCCCTGCTTCTCGGCGGGGGCTGCGCGGGGGACGTGACGGTAACGGGGCGGCTGGGCGCCTTGCTGCAGGCAGCGGGGAGGGAGGATGCTGGAGCTGACGGCAGAAGTGTCTTAATCCGTCGGGTTTAGCGAGAAAGCATCAAGAAACCAATTAAAAGGAAAATTACGGCTCAGCAAACGACTCCATTGAAGGGTGTCCCCCCTCCTCGTGTGGCTGGGAAACGCACAAAAGACGGCAGCTCCCCGGCAGCACCACGCTTTCACCCGCCACCAGAGCCCTTTTGGAGCTGTCCTGGGAGTGGAGGTCAGAGCCAACCACCAACCGTGGCCGCTGGGCTGGCGAGGAGCTGCCTTTTCGGTGCGTCGGAGAAGGTGGAGGGGAACGCTCGCCACCAGAGCATCCCTTGGCGGCGGCGGCATCCCCGGCGCGAGCCGGCACCTTTCTCTCCGCCGTCCTCCTGCCACCCTCCAGGCCCTCCCGGCCGAGCACACGTCACCTGCCGGCGCCTGCGGACAACCGCGATGTTTAAAATAAAACTAGAGCCTTTAAAAATGACGGCTTGGACTCTGAATGTGTTCGTAAAGTTTCGGTAAGTGGGTTTCAGCTTCTTGACCTTGCGTCCTCGTTAAACCATCGGTGCCCGCCCCTGGCGTTCTTTGGTGACCTTGTGCCCCAAGATGGGGAAAAATTAAATCTCCCCGGTGTCACTACTGGGGTGGGTTGGTTTCCTTAGATGACTGCCAAGTGGAGAGATTATGTCAAACGATTGCTATTCAGCTGGTGCGCTCATCCAGCGGTTGCACAGGCTGATGTCATGTGCGGGGATGGAACAAAGATTTAATTTTTAAAAATTTTTTTTTTTTTGGTGTGGTTAAAAGAGGAGGATGGAGGCTGAGCTGCCTTGGCAGAGCTGGAGAATGCTTCTTTTCTCCAAGGCCAGGTGGTCTTGGCTTATCCAGGGGACATGCAGGAATGTCTTTGCCTGCCTGAAACCTGCCCTGCAGCGCCTTAACCCCTGTCTTCGTCGTCCCCCCCACTCCCGAGGGGGTTAAATAGGAAGGCAGGAGAGGATGACTGAGCAGAAGGGGGAGAAGAGCGGTGACAAGGCGCAGCTGATCCCCAGGAGGTGGGAAGGAAGGAGGGAGGCTCTGCGGGGACAGAGTCGTGTTATGCCATCGTCACGCGAGTGTCGCCTCCGGAGCGTGCCTTAACCCACCGGGTCACCCGCCAGCGGCTGGTCCTCACCGGCACGGTAAACCGCAGCACTTCGGTACAGAAATTCCCCCCCTCCCCAAGCCCAGCCGGATAAAGCTGGGCCAGGAGAGCATCCCCGGCGCACATCCCCACTCTGGCCAAAGACCCCTCGTGGTCAAGGCTGGAGATGTTGCGGGGGGAAACAGCGTTTTGTCAGGATGGGGTGTATTTTCATGGGAAGCGCTGTGGGGTTTTGGCCGGGCGAGGGGGTCCTGGTGGTGCTGTCAGACTGGGTTGTGTGGGATCGGAGCCGGGTGCTGTGGTCCCCGGGGGGGGAAAATAAAAGGTTTTTCACCTCCATGTCTCTCGGGCCGGGGTGCGCCGGGGTTGTTTTCACCACTGCCTCGCTTGCCCTCGCCTCAGGAGGTTTGGCATCATGCCGATGGGCCAAATCCTGGTCCAGGTCCTGGTGCTGGTCGCAGGGAGCCCCTGCCCTGCACTGGAGGCTGCCCTGGGGAAGGGAGGCATTGGGGTGACCTTTGGCTGGGGGGATTGGCTCTCAGCCCCCCCCCACCTGAGTTGCTCACCCTAGAGTCTCCCCCAGACCCCAGCCCTGCGGGAGGGCAGATGGGGAGGCAGAGGCGGGTGAGGGGGCAGAGCAACCCCAGTGCCTGCGTGGGCTGTGTGCTGCCGGCGGCTCTGCGTGCAGGAGCCGGTACGGAAACATGCTGGCATCCAGGAGCTGCGGCGGGAGACGCTGTTGCTGTCGGATGTTCTTTACGCTTCCAAGGACCTTCTCCCACCTCTTCTGTGCCCCCCCAATCCTGCCACATGCGTCCGTGTGTACCCCCATCTCCCCTCCTTGTGCCTTGGGTGCCTTAGCCCCCCTCCCCACCTACAGCAAAGTATCTCATCCGTGGCTGAGGCAAAAAGCAGAAGATGCTGGTTTCAACCAAGGTGGCCAAGTATGGGGCCAATTTCCAAGCCCCCATAGCAGCTACCCATCTGTAGAGTGGTTATTGCCCGAGGCATGACCCAAGGCAAGCCTTGGATGTTTGGGATGGATGCCAGGGACTCAGTGTGGATGCTTGGGATGGGTGCCAGGGGCTCAGTGCAGCACTGTGGGCATGCACCCCGGGGGGTGGCCCAGCCACCCTCATCTGAGCTGCTGTGACTGGGGGGACCTCTGTGACCTCCACTGTCAGGTAATGGATACAGTAAGGATACGGGGAGAACATCTGGTAACTTGTATAATGGTGAAGGAAAGGGCCAAAACTAGCACCTCGAGCAGAAATCTGCCTGCTGGAGGGGCATGATGGGCTGGGGCTGCCCAGGGGCACTTGGAGCAAGGATGGGGTGAGATCTGGATGGTAGCAGGGAGCAGGGCTTCAGCAGGAGGGCTTAGCAGAGCGCAGCAGGTCTGCTGGGGCAGCGCCTGGGGAAGAGCAGGGCCAGCAGCAGGCACTGAGCTGCACTGTGTGAGGTGGGGGGGCAGGCCATGCTCGGGAGGGGTGGGTTGGGACTTTGCTGTCGGATAACTGAAGATAGGAAGCAGGAGGAAGTGTCCTTGGAGGAGTGTGGGGCTTGTTCAGCCTCTTCCCAGAGGAGCTGCCCCGGGTCTCCACCAGCTGCTTCCTGGGTCTCTGTGATTGCAGTGGCGTGTCTGGGGGATGAATTATGGCCAGTGGGTTTTCCATGCCTTAGTATAGGCATGACCCTGGCCTTGGCCCCCACACAATGGAGGGTGATAGCCTTGCGTTTCTGGCTTACTGCAAGATGCAGTAGGGCTCTCAGGGAGTGCAAGTCAGGCTAGAAAGTGTTGCTTTGTTTTTTTTAAAACAAAAAAATAAAAAAGCCCTCCCACCATCACAAGATGTTTCTGTCTAACGGCTTCATTCTCTCTCCGCTAAATACAAATTAGGGCTCTGACAGCCGGAGGCGCTTATCTCCAGCTGAATGCCAATTGCTTTCAGGAACAAAATGTTTGAAGTTCCTTTAAGGTGAAGGCGGCAGCACGGTCCCTGCCGCTGCTTTCAGGCTCCAAACACTTGCTGTCATCACCCCGACTCAGGTCCCAGGTCCCCAGCTGGGAGAGAAACAGGGAGGGGAACAGACACGGGCCAGCAGCTACATTTAGACATAGCTCAGCCCTCCTGGCTCAGAGGTGGGGGGGGACGGGACAGGGACACGGTCCTGGCCTGACGTTAGCAGTGGCGTGGCCCCTATAATAACGCCGTCCCTGTCTCGAGTTCTCCCTCTCCCAGTCAGCCTCAGAGATGAGTCTCCCCGTCCACGCCGTGGGGCTCGGGGGGGTAAAACCGCAGCCAGGCTACATCTTGGCACCGGGGCTCTGACCTCTGGTGGACTTAAGCTGGCTCTGGTGCTGCTGGCTGGTGGGACACAGGGAGAGTTGGCTCTGCAAGAAGTGTGTGCCGGTCCCATCCCCGGCTGCCCCAGATATTTGCCTTACAGAGAGCTGTCTTTCTGCTTTCAGGAATAAGTACTCGGCTCCCGGCAGCGTCGCCGTCATGGTGAAGGACTATTACAAGATTCTGGGCATCCAGACTGGCGCCAATGAGGATGAAATCAAGAAAGCCTATCGGAAAATGGCCCTGAAGTATCACCCCGATAAGAATAAAGACCCCAATGCTGAAGAGAAATTCAAGGAGATCGCGGAGGCTTACGATGTCCTGAATGACCCCAAGAAACGAGCCATTTATGACCAGTACGGGGAGGAAGGTAAGGGGACGGGCACTGCCCACTCGGAGACAGGGGTGCGGGATCTACATCGGTTTTTATAGGCCAGGGAGCATTTTCACACAGCGGTGTTCCTGTGGTTCATGCCTGCCCCTGGGGCTGATGCAGGGCTAGCAGCCACAGTACTGGGGAGGGTGAAGGCTCCGTGGGTGCCAGAAGTTGCCTCTCATCCCACTCCTCCCCCGGCTGCTCCACTTTTCCAGCCTTTCACCCTGTTTCCTGGGATGGCTGAGCTCTCCCTGCCCTCTGCCCCAAAACCCTGGCAGCCAGCAGAGGCAATGGAAGTGGAAGGAGCTCCTGGGTCTTACCTGGAGTAATTCATTAGCAATCCTTTAATTAACCTAAATATCCCAGCAGATAAGTACTGCTTTTGCCCATATTCCCCACCCCCCCCACACACCCCCCCGCCTTTGGGCACTGGTCCTGCTGTCCTCTCCGGTACAGGCTGACCTACAGGATTCAAAGCTTTTCCCAATTTAAGTAATAGGTCCTTGTTTTGAAACCAAGCGGCTGCTGTTGTCTGGTGGTTGGCATGGAGGAGGAGAGCGCTCCACCACAGGCGGCCTTATTAGTCGAAGATGGAAGAACGCAACCCCATTCGAGGAGAGCACCGAATAGCATCTGCATTAATCAGCCCAGGACTTGGGTGCTTAAAAGAGCAGGAGGTCTAGCAGGAACAGGCTGCTGGGTAGAAGAGGCAGCCTCTCTTGCCGGGCCAGTGGGCAGGTGCATCCCCTAAGGAGCCATCAGCAGAATTAACCAGTGGTGGGTTAATTCTTGACCCTTTAGTTATGTCAGGGCTATGATGGATGTACCAGGCACAGTGATTTGCCACCCTGTAAAATGAGAAAAGATTGTCTCAAGTGGCAAACCAGCCTTTCCCTGGAGGCGACCCTGAAATTGGACCCCTCTCAGGCTGGCGTCACAGGATTAAAGGTGAAACCTCCTGTCTGTACGGTCTGTTAGGGACTGGAGACAGGGACTCGACAGGGATTTGGCAAAATTCCCATTGCCTGAAGGCACCTAAAATAAGAGCGAGTCAAGGAGGAAGGGAAGAGCATCCCCCTCATTGACTGGTCCACAGCCCCCCACACCTTTTGTTTCCTATCAGATGCCATTGTTTGCAGCAGCATATCTTGAGGATCAGCGTTTTGAGGAGCTTTTAGGTCCTGCACGCTGCTGTAGGCAAGGTGAAGCGAAAGCTCCCTGGCCCACCCAGAATATGAACTTCATCCATCAGAAAAAACAGCCAAACTTGCTCGCTCTGTGCTTGTCTTCCTCCTATATCTCGCTGTGGGGGGCTGGCATGAGGGACAGCCTGTCAGAAATAGCCCATCACTGTCACCTGCATGCCCTGAAAATAGTCCTTGAGCTAGGCTTGGCTTAACCCTTGCTGCCCCTCCTGGTCAAAAATAGCCTTGCAGAGCATCTGTGATCTCTTCATGGGGGGCACTTGTCATGTGCCTTGGCTGCTTGGGACTTTGGGGGAGTTGCAGTGACGTAAGGCTCAGCCTGGGACCTAGCAGGGGAGTTTCCCATGGGAATGGTTACCAAAAGATCCAAGCCTTGTGCTCACCAGGCATTTTGTACCGTCTCTACGCAGGGAGCTGTGTGCTGACTTGGAGGTCTGCTGACCTCCATCTGCTCTGCCACCCAGAGTCACAATCACTTGCTGAGCTCAAAGCCTGTTCTCACTTGCAGGACATGATGTTCCTGGACTGCAGCCGTCAGTGCAGCCTGAGAGATGGGGCTATTTGGGCAGAAGAGAGCCTGCCCATAGGGAAGAATGGAGATGGGCTGGTCAGGAAATGTTTAAATGAAAAGGCTGTGAATTGGGTGGAGAGAGCCAAAGAAGCACTTCAGTAAGGATAGCAGGGACAAAACCTGAACGGATTTTGAACTTACTGGGCATAAGAGCAGGACTGTGTGTCACAGGTTGAGGTGGTGCCTTCCTGGCCCACGGTCTTCGCAGGTGGCTCTGCTGGAGAGGGTGACCTGCACCCCCAGGAGGTGCTAGAAGGGCTGCCTGAAACCAGCAGAGACCACTCTCCTGCTGGAAAGTGTGGTCCTGGTGCCGCATCCACTGGCGGGAAGCATTCACAACTCATCTTCCCCTTCTCTCCCAGGTCTCAAAACTGGAGGTGGCTCTTCAGGTGGCTCAGGGAACACTTCCCACTACACCTTCCATGGAGACCCTCATGCCACCTTCGCATCCTTCTTTGGAGGCTCCAACCCTTTTGACGTCTTCTTCGCTAGCAGCCGCTCCCGGATATTCAATGGCTTTGACCAGGAAGACATGGATCTTGATGACGATGATGACCCTTTCAGTGCCTTCGGCCGGTTTGGCTTCAACGGCATTAATGGGGTTCACCGGCGGCACCAAGAGTCCCTGCACATGCGGAGAAGGGTCCAAGACCCACCCATCATCCATGAGCTCAAGGTTTCCCTGGAAGAGATCTACCACGGCTCCACCAAGAGGATGAAGATCACACGCAGGAGGCTCAGTGCTGATGGCCGGACCACGCGGACTGAGGACAAGATCCTAAACATTGTCATCAAACGGGGTTGGAAGGAGGGAACCAAAATCACATTCCCCAAAGAGGGGGACGCCACCCCAGACAACATCCCTGCCGACATCGTCTTCATCCTCAGGGACAAGCCTCACCCACACTTCAAGAGAGATGGGACGAACGTGGTCTACACGGCAAACATCAGTCTTAAAGAGGTGGGTATGGGTGGTAAATCCCGTGGGGTGGGAAGTGGCACTGGGTGGTGGCACGTGGGACCAAGATGGGAGTCAGTCCTCCTGAGGAAGGACCAGGTAGGTCACGTGAGACACAGACCTCAGCAGAGAAGAACTGCAGAGGCCAACTCGTGCTTGGTTTTGGTGGTGCTCAACCTCCATGCTGGGTGTAGGACATGGGTACTGCGGTCCCTGCTGAACATGCCTTGCTTCTTGAGCCAATGCAGGTGGTATTTATCCATTTTCTCCCTTTCCCATGTCTTGTCCTTCTATTTTAGCGTAGGGTATTCATATATGGAAGAGAGACTAGATCTTCTGTAGGAACAAGGGAAAACCCAAGTCAGCTGGCATGAGTCTGGTCCCTGCTTGTTCTCCTAGCTGACCCTGCTGTGGCTTAGTTACTGTTCAGGATAGCACCAGGTGCCTCTTCCCACAGAGCAGGCTCACGCCGGGTAACATGGTACCTCAATCTCCCTAAGCGATGCTTTAGCTTTTTTCCTTGGTTCTGGCTTTCCTAGACAAAGAACCAAATAAAGAAAATAATCAAACCCTACACATCCAGGCTGCCAGTCCCGGAGGTCACAGTGGGGCTGGATGCATTGAAGTCAGTAAGGTGCACAAAGGTGGGAGAAAAAGAGAAAGATTACCCTGGTAAAAGATGTGCCATTCACTGCCTCTGCTGTATAACTACCTTTTAATAAAACCCAGCTGGCAGCTGCATTTAACATTGATGTTTTTGGCAGCTGCCATTGCTGTTCCTTTCAGACTGTAGATGCTGTCTGTCTTCTTAATGAGCTGATTTTTTTTTTTCCATTCCTGAAGACAGATTTATGTTCCCAAATGCATGTAATAGAAATAAGCTCAATGGGCCAGACCTGAGGCAGGGAAACGTGAGCTTGTTAGCGTGCCAGCGAGTCAGGAGAGCTTTGCGATGCCTCTGCATCCCAGCTGGGGTTGTGACCGGCTGTACTGGGAGTGAGGAGCAGCCAACATGGGTCAGGCAGAGCTTGGTGCTCCCGGAGAAAGCTCAGCTCTAGCTAACCTGCAGACTCAGGAGCTGAATTTCCTTTGTGGAGCAAAGTGTAGAGGTTTATTCCTGTGGTGGTTGGCTTCCCTGGCCACTCCAGAAATACTTGGGAGAGACTGCCTTATTTATGGAGCCATGCATGCCATATCTCAGATGTTTCCTTCTGTGCATTCCCCTATCTGTAAAATTAACCCCTGGCTGACTGTGCTGATGTCCAGACCACGTTAACCCAGATCCATGTACTGCTCAGGCTGCAGAGACTCTTTCCTGGAGGTGCCCTTTGAGCAGCAAGTGGAGAAACCTGCTCCGGCACCACATGCTATTGCACCAGAGGTGCTGGTTCTGAGTGCCTGCGGTCTCCATGAGCGAGGCGTGCTTGTGTTTGGTTTACACGATGCAGTCAGAAAGTGGAAAATTGCTGGTCAGGGCAAATTCCTCATTTCTTTGATCTGGAATTTCTGGTCTCTGTCCTCACCCACCGCAAACCTAATGTGCTGGTCATCCTTGGGGAGCTGTCAGCCTGACTGCCATCCCCGGTGTGCTGCTTGACAGGGCAGGGGGATACTCTGCTGCTTTTATCTTCCATGAGAAGTACCTTAAGTGCTCTGGAGCACGAGCAGATGCCAGGAGCTCCCCAACCCCATATGCCAGCATTTCAGTATATAATGGAACCTGAGTCTACAGCCATAGCCTTGGGTGTTCTCCTTGCACCCTTCCTCCTTGTCAGTGTGTCTTTTTTAGCCTGAGCTTTAGTCCCTTCCGCTGCCATGAGAGCAGCACAGCGCAGTGCCAGCAGGCAGAGCTGGCAGGCAGTGGATGCTGTGACCCCACTCATGGCTGTGCTGGAGACCCCTCACCAGCACCCTGCTGCTGCGGGGAACAAACCACCTGGTGCTTGGGCTGGGGGCACTCAGGAGAGCATCTTCCTCCTTCTCTTCTTCAGTCCGGGAGAGCAGCCCAGGGAGTCAATGCCCTCCCACCCCTCATATTGCGGCCCCACTGGATGCCGTGTTCCCCCAGCCGGGATGACATGGGTTGGTTGCCACCGGGCTACTGCAGAAGCCAGATGTGTATGAGGGCTTCCCCAGGCACTTGTGAGCTGCGGGGAAGTGTCCCTTCCTAAAATGACAGGCGTAACACCTGCCCTTGGCAGCCACCTGCTTTGCATCCTTTACCTGGCGTCACCTTCCTCAAAGCATCCACGCGTCAGCGCCCGGCTGAGACACGACCGGTAGCAACATCCCCCCTGGCAGCTTCGCTGCGAGCGGAGGAGGACCTAACGCTGACCTAGATAAATCTCTGCTCTCGCAGCGCAGCGCTCAGCTATCAAACCCAGGGTGATTTCATCCCTAGGGATAAAACCAGCCTCTTTCTAGGATGCAGGGCAGCTCCTGTGGTTACTGGTGTTACTTCAGCAACCAGTTTCCCAAATCCCAGTGAAGTTGAGCAAGAATGAAAAGCGAGGACATGTAGTGGAGGAGCGATTGCCTCAGATTCTTGCATCTTGGTTCTTGGAAGGAAACATTAAGGTCCCGTCTGCCCTGGCTGTTACCACCCGCTCCTGCTTGCATCCCTCTCCCTGCCCCATCCTCGTGCTCCCATGGAGAGTTCCTGTTCTCCTTCCCATTTTGTGGCTGGAGGTGTCCCTTCTCTGGCACACGTGGACCCGCGCAGCCCTCTGCAGCACATTGCAGTGGGTACCAGTGATCAGGAGGGTTCCGGCATCCTTGGGCGAGTGTGGGGCAGAAATCCATTGTTGGGGGATGATCATCCTTTGGTTCCTCCCCAACGCTCTGGAGATCCAGCCAAGCACCCACTGCTCATATCTGGAGGACACCCTTCCCAGGAGGAGACCCTGTGCAGATGAGCTGTGCAAGGAGATGGCCCCATCTCTCCTCTTTCTCCACTTACCAGAGCCCCCCAGCTGGCCCCGGCACGGGTCCCTTTGCCCTGGTGCAAAGGAAGAGATGTTTCTCCTGACGCTGCTCTGCCAGCGGAGGCTTTTCCTGGGGAGGGTAATGCAGAACATCCACCACCCCATCTACCCCAAAACCAGCAGTTGCATCCTCCTCCCCTCCCTTTGCAGGGTGTTTTGGGAGAGCTGGGTCCAGGGGGTCCCAGCTCAGAGGGGCGAACCTACACCAGCCCCCCACCTGGAAGCTTGATGCTGTACCCTCAGCAAATCCCACCCCCCTTCTTCCAGAAACATCGCTCCGCAGTCCTTTTCCTCAGCCCTTGCCGAAAGCCTGGAGACGATCCTGCCCACGTGTATGCCAGAGCTGTCTGAGTTATTTAAGGACACAAGGATTTTCTTGCTGCATTCCCGCATCACGTGGCTCACTAATGCAGGCCAGCTTGCGGCTGCCACGGCACCCACCACCCCGGCTGATGCCGGGAGCTGGGGTACAACAGGGTGGCACCCACAAAACCAGCTCTTGGCTTTGCAACAGGGGCTGGTGGCGGGGACCTGCCCGTCTTCCGGGAGAGCTCGGTGCCGTGGCGCGCCGCAATGCCGTCCCACACCGGTGTAACCTTCTGTGAGCCGTAGGTGGGGGTGGGACGGGATGCGGGCTGTGCTATAGATAACCCCCAGCGCCGGCAGAGCTGCCGGGCTCCGGAGGGTGACAGCTGATGAACCACGGCGGCATCTGATGATCTCAGCTGGATTTTTGGCTGCCCAAGGCTGGGCAGCGAGGCCGGGAAAGTGCTAAATTTAGCCTGTCCTGTTGTTGCGAGTGGCTGGACGCTTGCTGGTGGTGCCTGTTGGGGAGCCCAGGAGGTGGGGAGTGGGGTCTCCCCTCCCTCATGAGGCTGGTGCACCTCTCTGCTGGGGCACCCCTCTCCTGCACTGTTCCTGCATCCCTGTTCATGGTGGTTAGACTGGGCTGACACCAGTAGTGACCTGGACTTGCACTGTTGAGCATCAACCAATGCTCTGGGGCATCACCCAAACGGAGTTGGGTGGTTTAACCCAGGGAGCGGCCAGTGGTGGGGGTGTGTGTGGCCGTCGGGATGCTTTGGGGTGTCAGCCCTGTCTGATGGTGTGTCCCCTCTTCTCCCCCCAGGCCTTGTGTGGCTGCACCGTGAACATTCCCACCATTGACGGGCGCGTGATCCCGCTGCCCTGCAACGACATCATCAAGCCGGGGACAGTGAAGAGACTGCGTGGTGAGGGACTGCCCTTCCCCAAGGCCCCCAGCCAGCGAGGAGACTTGATCGTGGAGTTCAAAATCCGCTTCCCAGACAGAATAGCTCCCCAGACGAGACAGATCCTCAAGCAGCACCTCCCGTGCTCCTAGAGCCCGGGGACTCTCCTCCAAGCAGCAATACTCCAAACATACGTGCCACAGCACCCAGCCCGCACAGAGCAGAGGTGCCACAGCACTTTCAAATGCAAAAAAAAAAAACAAAAAAAAAAACCCTCACATCACTTTCCTTCCCCCCAAAAAAAACCATCCAACCCACCTCTCCATCCATCCCTCTCCCTATCCATTCCCCTCCCCATCCATCCCTCTTGGCCTGTTTTCTACTCCAGCAGTGGGGAGGCTCCTGCCCATATCACAGCTCTCCCGGCTGCCAAACTTTTTATTTTTTTTCCCTAGAGGTCCAGCATTTCCACCTCGCGCAAGCGAGCAGCATGGGCCCTTTGCCTGGGGGGGTGCATCACGTTGTGGGTTTTTCATGTCACCTGCTTTTCAGGCCACTTTTCCCACGAGACGCTGGACTTGTCGGGGTCCGGCGCAGTGTAAATAGGACTCCGCAGGTTCTGGTGTCCCTGCTGTTAGTTTTTTTCTTCCTCTCTTTGATACTTGCTGCTGTTCGGGGTCCTGGCTGTACCGTGGTGCCAGTCACTCTGGCCCGCGGTGGCCACCCCCCCGTAGCCGGACTGTTTCTCACCTGGGACCACGGTACCGAGCCTGACCGTGGTCCGCTCTCCTGTGCCAAGCCTACAACCAAGCCTCGGCTGTGCCAAATGATGGAGCACATGGGGATGGTCCCATCCAGCCTCCTGCCCCTGCCTGGGGCTCTCCTGGTGCCCTCAGAGCCCCAGCTGAGCAGGAGGAGGGGGGGAAAGCCGAGGATGGAGCTTTCTTGTTCAAATGTGTTGAGTTTGCATTGCTACTTTGTTTTTTTAAAATACATATATATAGAGCTCATTAGATAAAGTCCGTAAGGGTTTTTCTCTGCCCATTTTGGGGTTCCTGGCGTGGTGTACCCTGACTTTTTACAGAGCAGGGGGGGGATATTTCACCCACATGAACATCAAAAGCCCAGGGGTGGAGGGAGGTTGTGTAGCACAAGTCTGGGTGCAAAACCAGAGCCAAGCGTGAGCAGAACTGTAGGTTTCACTAGCATTTTAGGTCAACCTTAGAGACTTTAGTAAGAAAAGGCACGTGTATATATTTTTCTACAGGGACGATTCATTCAGGAGGTATTTCTGGGTGTCAGGATGCAGCTGGGAGGGGCATGAGGCAATCATCAGCGTGGTGGCTTAATTTTTAAATGCTGTATTTTTTTAAAACCTCTGGATTTCCATCAGAATTTTTATATTTCTTACCTTTCTTGGCCCACTCTGCCTCGTGCCAGATTATTTTTCCCAAGAAGGGGCTCCTACGGAGCAGGAGGCGCGTTTGACCTGGCTTTGTATAGCTCCTCTTCCACCCCAGCACCACAGAGAAAACCCCTGCCAAAATATTCTCCCCGCCCCGGGAATCCT